CACAATGAATATGTTTCCTTCATTATTGATATTGATTGATATTTCACCCGCGCAATGGATGCTGGCTCTGAGCAATAAATTGAAGGTGCAAAAATGGATGCTCAGCTAACTTACTTGGCAATTGGCAAATGATTGAGGAACCTAGGGTAGGTATTAGGATTCCTTTTGTGTTGTCATTAGTTTTTGCTTTTTATACAATTACAATCAAATCAAATAACCATTCTTAGTTTTCACTGATGTCTAAATTATCATACATAAGGATTATGCTATGGTGCAATAAAAGGAATTCTACGATGATAAAAAAGATAACCGTGTAAAAATTCCTTCAACGACCCTCCAAGGGCATATTAGAATATAAATATAAAATTTCTCGTGCTTATAATGATTTCAGGCTAGCTATGGTAAAGCAAAAGATACATAGAAATACGTTATTTTTTACATTCATTATATTTATTAATATAAATTGGCATGAACCTTTTATTGGATAGCCCATTTCAAAATTGAATTTAAGATCGTAAGAGTAATATTGAAACCTCTTAATCATTCGGATCACCTGTGACGGTTAACTTCTTTATCTTTAGCAAATAAATAAAACTCCATACATTTAATAGTACAAATAAACTCTACTTCTTGTTGAACTCAAATAAATAAATGTTTTATATGTAAATAGTTAAATACAATAAAAATTGTTCAGATCCCAAATTTATCTACGGGGAAAAAGGACTGAAGTTTCTAGGATTTGGGGAAGAAGAGATAAAAGATGAGAGGTCTAATAAATGTATAAATTTGTCAAATTAATTAAAGACACCCTGTGATCTATTTTTACATATTGTCTAATAATCATCTGATAGAAGATATATCAACATATAAAGTAAGCAACGCTTCATAATATTTAGGGATCTAAAATATATATAAATAAATATTTTAAGAGTGCTAATCCGTAGATAAAACTAATTAAAAATTAAAAAACATGATTTCCAAACTCCAGGAGAAGATGCAACATGCAACAAATGTATGCTAATGGAGGTACCGCATCAAATATATTTTTATTTTTAAGAAAAATAAAAGAAAAAAGAAGTAAAAAAAAAAAGAAAAGGTCAAATGCTACTATCTAAATACATCATCACAAACTTAGATCTCAACACATTTATGACTCCCTCATTAATGCGCACCCAACCTCAACTACTCTACATCACCATCCCACCATTCTCATTTATCAACCGCCTCTCACACGCCCACCCGCACTTCACCACAGTATGGACTCACACATTCACGTCCACCTACGTGCTCACGCACACGTGCCCAACCTCAAATCCCCCGGCACTACTATTCACCTCACAAGTGTCCGTTCATAGTATTTTGACCTTTAATTACCGTGAAATCAAAACTTTAGTCCAAAACAATAAATACTTCTCGCTACATAATTTATGAGGACAAATTTTCATAACCAATCTATTTTGAATTTTATTTCTTAAAAACAGATTTATTTTAAACTTAATTTTAACAAGACATCCAGTTAGCTAAAACTAGGCCTGTTTTTGAAAAAAAAGTTCTCAAACTTCACGAGAGTTGAAGTCCCGTGAAGTTTTTTATATAACAAAACTTCACGAGACTTTAACTCCCGTGAAGTTTGGAATTTTTTTTTTTTAAAACCGACTCAGTTTCTATCCAAATAAATCGGTTTTTAAAATTAAGTTTGAAACGTGTCTTTTTTTTAGAATTTTTTTGGCAAAGAGGTTGGGTTTGAAAATTCGTCCTAATTTATGACATTTAAATCTCCACTAGCCTTCCTCGCAACGCTCATTCTCACTCTCAAACCTCACCTCCTTATGGCTTCTCCCTCCTCCTCTCGCCCCTCTCCTCTCCCTCGCTCTCCTCTCTTCACGCCCGTAAGTAGTGCTATTCCTATGGTTTTTTCTTTACTTCGTTTTTAGTCCTCTAAACTCACAAATATTTTTTATGCGGTCCAATTTGATCGAGCACAGATCCCAGAACTGGATAAAGAGGGAGAAGTCGAGGACACGCCGATACCCGAACCCAAACAAGAACACAAGTCACCGGCACCGAGGAAGAAAGAAGACCGGCAGCTGTCGTCTCCTCAACAGGTGCCGCCCTCTCCTCCTCACGTGACACCAGCAGCAAGTCAAGCCCCTCCGTCGTCCCCGTTGAACACAGCACTAACGGGTACAAATCCAGCCCCGCTTACGCGAAAACCCTGCCTCAACCCCTCCTCCCCAACCTCGCCCGCAAGAGCCCCAAAGCCTCACGGTCAGCGCGTCCGCGGCCCACCGACGGCGAGTGGAGGCTAGCGAGCCCAAGAGTCTCCGCAAGCTCGTCCACGTGAGCGCCGCCGTGAGAAGGCGCTTCTAGAACTTCCAGGCTCAAGCGCTTCCGTCGCCGAGCTCGAGGGAAAGCTCGAAGCGCCTCGAGTCCTGCTGGCCTCGTCTCAAGGCGCGCGCCTCGACCGTGCGGGCCTGGCCTCCAGACCGGCCAACGAATACCCCTCTCCCTACGCGGTCGACAGGGCTCGGCCGCTGTCCGGGCTTGACCGGGCCCTCTCTGCCAACGTAAAGGCCCGGACGAATCGCCTCGCTGCTAAAACTCCCGATACAGAACACCGGCACGTTACTGATTTACATGGAATCTTTACTGAACCGGGTTTTTTATGAGGATTTTGAGAAACCAACCGACGAGGAGGCGAAGATTCTCGATCCGACGGTTCGGTCCGAAATAAACCGGGCGGGGTACGAAGCGGTTCGAGAGCTGACGTGGGAGGATGTGTTGAGCAAAGGGACGAAGCATTACAGTGAAGGGTTGAGTAAATTTTGCGATAAAAAAATGAGTGAGGTTGTGGGCTTGATGGGCTGGGCCAAGGCCTGGCCTGAGTGTTTGCTGCAGGCTTTTTTCGGGGCGGCGAAGGGGGTTTGGGTTGTGTATCTGCTCGCTCGGTGTGGTCCGCCAGTGACGATAATGAGGGCGAGAGAGGGTTGAGTTCGATGGGGAGCTCATGGAGGATGTGAGGGGTGGGGTCACGGGGCGTGAGCGTAGAGCGATGGTGGCGCCGGGTTTTTCGGCGGGGCGTGGGGTTATTAAGTGTAAGGTGGTGTGTGAATATGGGAATAGTGAGAGTGAGGGTAGCAAGGTGAAGATGAGTGATTAGCCGGTACAAATTTTATCAGAACAAACACACATACGAACAAGATAATCTGAGTTTATTTTGAAGATTACATATGTGGTCTTTACATCTTAGTCATGTGCAGATTGTTATGATAGGATTTGTATTTCGTTAAAAGTTTTCTTGTTCATTTCATTTTGTTTATTTATACAATATTTGGCTTGGTTTAATCTGACGGTTGGGTTTTATTGGAAATTTGAATTGGATGGGTGGGGAAAGGTAGGGTCGTATATGTTAACTAATTAATGCATATTGGAAAAAGTAGGAAACTGTCCTCTGAGAAGGCGGGAAGCTGGACCACCAGTAATAAATGTAGGTTGTCAGTGTAAGTTTCCGACAACGAGTACGATTGAGAGGTAAAATCTTTGTTATGTTTGAAGCAATGACTATGATAAAGAAAAGATAATTCGATCGTTAGTTAGAGAGATTGCGCGTAGCAAGCTGAAGAGAAATATTTTAGGGCTGCGAATTGGGAGGGTTGGATTGAATTCAGGGTCCGTACTCAATCTGGTTGCGGATGAGCTGCGTTCAAATTCAATCTCACCTCATGTCGTCCGTTCTCAATCTCAATCCAAGTACAACCCAAATTCTCAAAGTTGTAGGCCGATCCTACTCAGTCAGCAGGTTGGATTGATTCCTATTCCGATTGAGCCCTACAAAATTGCTTTTTGCTAAGCGCTGATACAGAAATTTGTTATCCTTTCGTTTTATGAAATGTTTTGTTTGGAAGGGTTTGGTTTCACGTTGGGATTTTTTTAAAAGATTGTCAACGTTTATTAAACCTTCGATTGAGATGGGCGTTTCTCTCGATGTTTGTGTATATGTATCTAATGCAATTTAGTAAAGGGTTATGAAAGAGCCATCTCATCAAGCGGGCAGCTGTATTTGTCATTACTCGCATACAAAATACATGCATTCAACGGCGCTAAGATAAAGAACTCTTTAACAATCAATGCCAATGATGCAAAGCTGCTAATTTAGCTACTATTGCTGCTGTTACTATCTTAATTAGTCAATCCCAAAGATCACTTCATGATTCTTTAACCATTTGGGTCCTAAATGTTACTATCTGAAAATACAGATTCTTCGCATGCGCACTATATAATATAAACAAAGTAGCAATATAGTGACTACAATCTCAACCACCTAAATATTAAACTGGTTTTCATCAGATTTAGATTTACTCCGTGAAAATGAACTGGAATCTTGATTAGTGTTCAATATTATTAGCAAAAATTGACCATGCTCAAGGTGTGAAGCATAACAAGAAAAGAAATACAAATACAAAAAGCAGGCTCTAAGCTCTTATCATTGCACTGTCCACGACTTGCAGAAATGGCAACCTGCAGGTTATGGCTCCAGACCTGTTCACGGTCACATGGCATCACCCGCTCAATTATTCAAAAAAAAATAAAAATAATAAAAACAAAACACTGCGCTGTCCAAGATCACGAGGTCAAAAAACTACAGTTACCAAATTTGGGGCGGAACAAAACGCACCAGTTACCTTCTGCTTAGTACCTCCTTTTGGGTCCTACGGAAACGAGGTTTAAGAAAATGAAAAACGAGTGAAATTTTGAACCATAGCTCATGATGTTGCATGACAACTCATAGAAAAAAGAAGGATAAAACCACGTTCTTCCTTAATTTGGGATCATTTCCCTTGTATCATTTCTTCAGCCGAACAGGCTTTTGTTTCCAGTCTTGAACCTTTTGAAGGCAACACTCGTGTAGTTCTCGCTAAGTATTTCAGAATCCATCGAACAAGTCTATATTCACGAGATATGATATGCACGTTCGGAGTAAACACAATAACTACAATCCAAAAGCAAAACAAAGAAATCCTCAAGAAAATGGCAAAATAACATTCTAAAAGCAAGCCAGAAGAGATCGACATGCTCCAGTTCCACATGCTCCCATCAAACATACATGGTTCAAAATTTCAGCGCAATCAAATTTGACCTTTTACAACTTAACTGCTGAATGCAAGCCGGTCACGTACCATAAATTGCAATGAGACACTATATACAATCTGAATAATGTAGTAACTAATTACATCTTTCAAAAAGAAGCACCATCCCAGAAGAAATTCAAAACATTGAAACTTTTTATCTGCATACAACTGTAAGCTCACCATGAAGAACATGGTGCTGCTCTGTGCAGGTTGGTGTGATCTTTAGAAGAATCAAGGTTCTCCCAACTGAGATGAGCTACTCCATGTATTCACGGGTTAAATCTCAAGGTCGTCCACTGAGAAATCTTGGTCGTTCAGCAATTTCACTTTCTGCAGTCACAAGTCCACATATGAAAGGAATCAAACAAATATTTTATCATTTTTGCCGAGCTCATTTCTTTTTCTGGTCAATTAAAAAAAAGCATCCAAGCATTCATATACATTCTCAAGTAAGAAGTTCATTGAACTTTGATACAGAATTGATGAAAACATGATGCCAAGTCAATTAGGGAAAAAATAGTATGCATACTTGGATAAGAATATAAAGCTATTTAGATAAATACATAATATTCGACAAGAAAAAAGCAAATCAAACTTTCTAAATTACACATATGTATCTGAACTCACCGTAATAAACTGGGGAGGATCATCAAGGCTGGTTGAACCAAGGATGATTTCCCTCTTTAGCTTTGATGTTAGCTTGTGAACTGCACGTAGCTGGTAAAGCAATATTAAACAAAATAATGTTATTATTCAATAGCAATGAAGAACGCATGCAACTTTGAGAAGCCTATAGTTACCTCAGATCTAGTAGCTCCACCAATAATAAATATGAAGATGCGCTGGCCCATCTTTCTAAAATCACTAGAGGCATGTCTTAGCACTGAATCACTGCAAACACCCATCAAACAACAAGGGTCATAGTTGAAAACTGAAACATGATAAATTCTCAGACTGATGCGATATTAGATCACAGCACTAGCTGACAATTCCATTAGTCTGATTTCACCTACAGCGCTTGATTTTTTTTTTTCTGTTGTGTTGTTTTTTTTGGGTGGTCAGTCTTACCTTGCATAACCATCATCTGAATTACGAGGCCTGGCCCATGTGGCAGTCCGCTTTGACCTCATAGAATGAGCACTATGAACAGGGCTTGACTGAACAGAAGCACTCCCATGGTAAGTAGGACTTGGCTCGTTCATACACTGATACTCATTCTTCGGAAGCTCGCCCTTTGTGAGTTTCTCAATTAACTCCTTTTAAGAAACGATGGTAATTTATATCAGAGATAATTCACGAAAAGATAGAAAAAAAATGGCAAAACAAGATGAAAGTGTAACGACAGAAGCATATTTTGGAAAGTCTGTTGATGTATTTAAACTCCTTATCAATGAGAACCATCAACGTGAAGAAACTCTATGACGATTATTTACACATGCTCATGACAATAGAAAAGAAAATTCCCTTCTATAACAATCATAAATACCTAATATTCTAGGAAAAGGATTGAGGAGTAATTCAAGATTATAAAATAGGGCATCTTGATCGGACCTGCGCCGATACAAGTCCCAGTCCAGTTTTTAGGAACAAGAATTGGCAAGTAGCAGGTAAAATGGCCCACTCGCTACCCTTAGTATAAGCAGTAGTTCAAAGCAAGAAGGTAAATTGTAATGTGGTATGTTTTCTACAACTAAGAAGAAGAAAACCCCAGCCACTCATCATCAAACTACCTTCACTACTATTATTACCATGTTGAAACCCAGAGTACCAATAAGATATTGAACTATGTAATATTTTAGCATGATGGAAAATCATAGGAAATAGTACATCTAATTTTTCCATTATGGCATGAGATACATTGAATTATTTGGCGTCCTCGTTATCGTACAAAGTGTGTTTAGTGCAGGTGACAGGATGATGAATGAAAGAAATCCTATAATGGCATGCATATGCTCAAAATGTGTGTTTGCTTGAAAGACCGACTGGATGCTCAAGATTGATATCAAGGAGGATGAGCATTGGATGAGATAAAAAGGCTCTCCATATGATGGATAATCAGATGGAGATGAAGAACTGAAGATTCAATATTCAAGACACAAGATTTGTCAAAATTAAGAAGTTGTAAGTTTTCTACAAATAATATTTCACAATATTTCAATAATAATTGTTCAAATATTTAAATTTCTTAATTTATTTATCATTGAATACACGTGTCAATTCTAAATTGTTAATAAAATATTATTCAATTTATATATTGTCTAAATTGCTTTATTATTTGTCTCAATTAAGCATAGTCAAGTTTTCTCTAAAATACTTCATGTATCTATCTAGGAGAACATATACAAAGTATAACTAAATAAGTTAGGGAAATTAGCCAACACGCGCTTGGCTGGTGGACAGCCACTGTAAGTATGGCCCGTGACTACGCCCCCTCCTGCATGGCACTGCCCATGATGAGCCCATAGGTTGTGCAGGCCCGGCCTACTTGCTAGGTCTACTCTCTAACCACCAGGTCTAGTCCAAGTATATTAAAGTACTCAAACAGATCTATGTAATCCATTTATTGAACAATTTGGGACCTAAATTCTGACTAGGAGAACTGATGCAAGATCTAAATTTTCAAATCTACCACAAAAATCAAATGCTTACATTTCCAACTTATAAACCACTTCCAAATGAAAATATATTTTTTCCCCTACGGAAAAGAGAAAGAAATTTACAAAATGTCAACGATCAAATTCAAAGAAATTCCTGCATCCCATCGAAAAGTATATACAGGGGCTAGAAACTTTGACTCTTAAAAAACCAAATACATCAGTTTCCAATTAAAGTCACTAAACCCAAATTCAAAATCCGAATCACATTATGTGCAAGATTATTAAACCTGATTACCGTTGCAGTGAATAATCAACTACCAATCACTACCTCAAGCTTGCGGTGCTACTGCTAATGTGCCCAAGTGTCATTTCCTTAGGCGAAAAAATGGCGAAAAAATGTACTCATGCTTAATTTCCTCTTGATTTCTGAAGGTTCAAAAGCAAAAAAGAGAAGATATATAAGATGAGGAGACTTTGTTGATATAAGACCTCTACGATCACCGATGCTTGTCCTATTCACCAGCAGTAAATATCCAAGAAACCACAATAGGGGCCAAACTACCAAGCTATTATGATTTTAAGAAAACAGAACAATCTACTAGCTTAATTCTCAACCTTTCTTTAATTGTTCTTTTAACTGAGAATCTTTAATGTTACTCTTTCACTGAATATTACCAGAGTCTCTATTTCCTTAATACCGAGCTACATACCTCTCTACCAATGCCAATTTCTAACTTACATTATCATATACCTTTGTTTTGTCACTTACCATCTCTTTTTTGGATTCAGTTTCAGTTAAATTAATAAATAATTGTTCGCTATGACTGCATAGCTAATCTTTATCAGATGCATTATTTCTCTTACATTTTAAGCTTACTTGTTCGCCCACCTCTGTCTAGATGGCAAGTAATTCACCAGTCCT